GAGAGGGACTCGGTGATTTGGAGGATTATTTCGTTGGGGAGGTGCGTGAGTGTCATAACTTAACCTAGTCGTTTCGGTACTTTTAGCGAGAGGCGGCGATGCGCGGCGTAGGTGTTTGGTGTTTGGAATGAGCGGGCGGCTGATATGATGCGGAATCTAGGCTACAGCACTTGGGTTGGGCATGATCGACGTGGTATTGGTAGTACAAGAGCGTTGTTATTGGCAGAATCACGTGCCGTCTGCAGGTCGGTATTGCTGGATCCCGGGATCACCGCTTGTCACTCATTGGAGGAATGGGGGGGAATGTGCTTTGGGGTTTTGTGCGTTTTTTGCCAGGGTAGTCTGGTCAGTGTTTCCAAAGGCATGCCACTGTATGATTACAGATATTCTTGAGTTCCTAGATTATTTTATCATGACATTCACAACTTCTTTAAGTCAAGTTAGCACCGGGGAGTGTCATTCAAGGTTGAAGAAGACTTACTTTCAAAGACAAAGAGGCTCAACACAGCATTGAAGTCTAGGAAGTCCAGCAAGGCGTAGCAGCACCGGAAGTTCTATTTGACCAGACAACCTACGATAGCTTCGTGCTCATCCCCAAATGGCTCCCGGTAAGCGATAAAACCGCAAATCGCCCTAAAAGATTTCTGGACGAGGCCGAACAACAGGAAGAAACACCAGAACCCCAAAGAAAATGCTCGTCAAACGCGCCCACCCCCCTCCAAAATCGGCTAAACAATCCTCACGTACTCGTAGCAGTAATCTAGGTTGGTGTGACCAGTCGCCGGGCGTCCTGTCAGATCCAGTACGAGTACACCTTTGAAGCAACCTAGACCGGGCTCAGATGTCATACGAGGGACAGTTGCAAAGGCCGGAGAGCCTCAACACTGGGGCGGGCAAGCAGGAAAAACCTTGCGACACCGGCTACTACCGGCAGTTTATTCACGAATGATATCTCTGCGGGGGCTTGATTGGAGAAAGGATTCTGGTATGATCCTACGGTAGTGCCGAAACAGGAGCAGCCGGGGCAATAACGGCTTGGTGCGAAGTCCATAATCATACCCACTCACGTGACGTGCGGGGAACATCGGGTACAGCTCAAGCTATGAGCCGACTCGAGTCTCAAGTGATCTACTAGCCGAGTTTGCGATCCGAGAGGGTGGGGAGCGATTGCGGTCGCCATTCCCACTTTATCATTGCAGGGTTAGCCCGGGTTGGCCTCGCTTACTGTCCCCCCTGGGCGCCTGGGTGGGCGCCTCGGCGGTTGAAGAATGTACGGTACAGTACTCCTACCTTACGCCATGTTAGCTTTAAGCATTTGCGCGGTGCAGGGTGGGGTGGTGGTTTAATACTGATAGATAGTAATGGTGTTTGGCCTGATTGGCTGTTGATAGGAGGCCTTTAGGCTTTCGGGGCGCTGGCGACCGGGGATGGTGGTTAGCAATGCCTGGGTGAAATTTTTGGATCGGGGTTTTTGGGTGAGAGAGGGTATCATCGAATTTTGCTATCAGGGTTTGCCGAAGTATGGGGTGTTCGGGTGTTGATGATGGTATGGCAGGTAGTAGGTATGTGAGTGATAGAGATGATCAGTCTCATCGTGGATCCAACGGGGATGCTGGACGCCCGGTACTGAATTGCGGGGCTTAATGGTGAAGGGGTGTCTTCAACAACCTTGGAGCATGATACCTTGAGGTATAATACATATTATCTGAGTGATACTGGGCACTAAAATGTTCAATCCGCTGAGCCCAGCTGGAAGGTTCCCAAAACCTTAGGGGTATTGACCTGTGAAGCTATATTCCATCATATGATACCACGGTATGATATGGGGGCTCAAGTAGCGATATGAGCTTCCCCGAACAGGGGGGCCTCCTGGAATCCCACACGAATGGAACGCTTGTCCATGCCATGGAAGGGTGTTGTATTCATGGAAGTAGTATACTCGTTTTGTATAGTACAGCACGAGTACTGTACAGTACCTGCAGGCTCGCATTTCAAAGTACGAAATAAGTAGTCTCCCCGCCCTAGTTTGTCGTTCAAGTGCGGTATTGTAATTTTAGTTGTAATTTATCATAAGTTAACTACTTGCGAGCCCCTCGAGAATAACAGAGTGTTTGAAGAACTCGTTTTTAAGCCTTGGGAAATGTAGCTCATAAGATACGGCATTGTACAGCACTGAAACCTGTTCTGCGTAGATTTATGTTGTCTCCTCCCCTGGGTTATCTGCCCCACTGGTGTGTATCCGTTTCGAGTGTCTTCTTTCCCCGTCTCCGGTTGCTCCGGTTTTCGGGCAATTTGAGGCCCATCCTGCGGGGGTTCGTATTAGGTGCGCTACGAGGCCTTCCTGGGTATTTGTCTCATGGGCGCCCTCATTTGGTCATGCCTACCTCTAAGTGTGAAGGGTGGTAATAGGCATCCATAAGGAGAAAAACCAAGCGCGGGGAGCCATTTCTGCGAGTACAGTACCGGTACTGTACTGGTTGGCTCGACCGAAAATAAGGCTTCTAAAGAAAACGTGTCTGGGGAAATTGTACTCGAGTAGGGTACTCATACAGTTCTCGCACCGCTATCAAGAACTGAAGGGTGGGTGTTAACCCTGTCGGCGAATGATTGGTTGGAGGGAACTTTGCGACTGTGGCCACACGATCACGGATTTCAGAATCTCGATGGCACACACCCGGCTATTCATTAACGCAACTAGAGTGATCGCCTCCAGGAAAGTGGGAGTGCCAGTAAGGATATCCATGCGGGGAATGCTCCAAGATCAACATTCCCCACAAATACTCATTTTTCGAGCTATGATATGATACGGTAGGTCGCCCGATAACAACGGTACTTATTTTATATGTCTCACAATTACCGCCAACTTCTATTTGTCGGCTTCGCTCGGCTGCGTACCGGTATGTAGGATAACGATAATATTCTGGGTTGCTGGTAAATATTATGCATATGCAGTATTGAGCGTCGTTCTGCACGACAGCAAGTACGAATATAGTATCGGTATGGTATTACAGGGGGTCCGAAGGATGTCATCTCGCACGGCCAGTATCATAGCTTCTTGCGCGAGTGTTAATAGGGACGCGGGCACCGAAGAGAGGTCTGTGCATCTGATTAGCGTCAAACGAAATGATGAATGGAAGAATGGAAGTCGCATGATAAGGAAGTTAAATGATATGAGGCGAGAACCTTATGTGTGGGTAGCTAAGGTGCTGCTGTACGACAGACAGCCAGTAGGAGTACCGTAGTAGAGCTTTGCTCCATGAGTGAGGGTGCTCCACGAGTGAGTTTAAAGCGTGTCTTAAAAAGGGTAATAGAACAGAATTGGGCCTCGACCTTCAGGTGAACCAACGATCGCAAAGGCTAAACGACATCCGGTTCCTACCCAGCCCTCCCAGGAGCAGCTGCGCAAAGAAGCCGCGATACACCCGTGGTATCATCGACCAAAGAGTAAACTTTCCTCAAACGGAAGTCCCCTCCGGTGGGTCAGGACCAAGTTCATCCGCGAGGCATTCATGGCATTTTTGGTATGAGTTATTGAACGAGATTCCTTTTCCACCACAGCTTGCTGGTGATAATTTCCCATACTTCTAGTTCGTGGATCAATAGGGTGCGAGCATTGCGGGGGAACTCTTCATCCTAGGCAGGTCGGGCTGAACCGGGAGATAATGGATATATACCATGTGTTGTGTGTGTGTCTCGGGTACCGTATGGGGTTTCAGGCTGGGTGATTCCATCAAGAGCTCATCGCTTGGACACCTTCTTTACGATATCGTGCTCCGCTGCTACTTGTACTACCGTATTTATGTGATACAATTTCATGGGCGCGATAGTCACAGCGTTTTTCCAACACAGCGGGCCAAGATACAATACTGGCCCGACTGCATCAGGCTTGACGGGTAATGCCGTGCGTTGCCCATTCATTCCTCTCCGGCCCAATAGCCGGAGACCCGGGCGGGGTGGGAGGGTTTCCATAGATCCAGGCCTGGTCTCTAGCAATTACCCGAGTACTTCGGGTAGGGGAATGTGCGTTCGGCTGGCGGCTTGTTCCCTCACGTCGTGAGTTCCCAGTGGAATTGTGGAGAAACCTAGTCTAGCCAGTACTCGAGTACGGCACTCGTACATTAGATATGCCGGTATTTCGGTAACTACCTGTGGGGTGCCGTATCGGTATCTGGGGGGGGGCATTGTGATGTGTTATTCCAGTTTGATAGCGGTGGCACAAGCGCCGATGACAAGTAATAGGAAGAGATATTATCCAGATATGAGCTGCATCTATAGCCGCGTTGATTGCGTGTTTAGTGCCCCACAAGTGCTAGCATTCTAGACGAAACCTATTTTCGTTGGAAGGATGAGAGCATTCGATCCAATACTGTTTGATTGCACGAATCTACTCGAGTACTGGTATATCACAATGCGGCAGTAGGATTCCAGTGCTCGAATAGTGACAACAGCAACACCCGATACTTGCGCTTGAGTACTCGTACTGTACATTACTAACCGCTGGATTCCGAAGACTTTAACTTAGTTACCGTATGTGGGCAACTGCAGTTGAATCGGGGTCGCCCTGGATTGGTGGGCTGGTTAGTTGTTGCGGCCGGCACCATCAGGATTGGTCAAAAGCAAATAACTCCACAGCATGTTCGAGTTCTACTCGTACCGCACAACGATAATTGCCCAGAAACTCTTCATCTTAGCCAATCAAGAACGGCTTAAGCAGCCAATTACCCACTGAGTGACCGTGCAGAGCGGGGGTCGTCCCCCGTCTAGGAGTAAGGCAACCTCGCCGACCTCATTTTATTATTATTTCACATCAAAGTTGTTCGTATAGGATAACATATTTTTTTTCTCTAACCACCACCTCTCCTAGGGAGATGTTCTGGTTTCTGTAGACCATACCTAGTTTGACTAGAGCGGCACTACCTTGCTTTCTCTCCCGGTAGGATAAATTCGGAAGAGTAGGGATTATTGTATAAAGCTTCAAGTCTATCCCGTGTCTTTCGTTAGAGCAAAGCTCCGATACACTAGGAACCCGCTGAAGGAAAGAAGGGATCGCCAGAAGAAGAGAATATTTTCCCTACTGTATGTTAATTCCTGCTTGTGACGCTTGGAGCACGCTAAATGGCTTAGGTTTTGTTGGAGTGATAGTCGTTGAACAAAATGGCTTTGGACGCCGTGATAGCTTATGCTCGGGAGCTAGCTCCTGCTAGCATTTCTAGGGGCGCTATTGCTGCCACAGTGCTTGGGGTGTGGCTTTTGAATAGAATTTGGCTTGTTTTTTACAGACTTTATCTGGACCCGCTGTCAAAGTTCCCTGGGCCGAAATTGGCTGCCGCAACCTCCTTGTATGAAATGTATTATGATGTGAGTTGTGAACCCATAGTTTTGTCACCGGTTAGCTGATATTCTTCCAGATAGCTCAAGATGGAGCATTTACATGGAAAATGGACGAATTACATAAGAAATATGGTGTTCATCCTCGACCCGATGGGTATGATATCGTGCTAACATTGTGAAGGTCCCATCGTCCGTGTCTCCCCGTATTCTCTCCGCCTCCGAAAGAGTTCTGCATACCATGAGGTAAGTTATCGTTCCCGAAATTGGGGCCTTTTCGCTGCTCTGTGCTAAAATTTTCTGAAGGTTCATAGGATGGGCACCCCCTTTGTCAAAGATGTTAGGTTCTACGGCCAGTTCAAGATTTACAATGCTGTATTCGCAATCATAGACACCGAACTCCACCGCCAACGGCGCGCACTACTAAACCCAGTTTTCTCCAGAAAAGCGATTTTAGACTCAGAGCCTGTTATCAAGGAGAAGCTCAATCACCTCTGCCGTCGCATGAAGGAGCATGAAGTGCAGGATAAACTTCTCAATTGCTACACAGCATTCGTCGCATTCACAGTGGATGTCATCACTAAATTTGCTTACGATAAGAGCTACGAGTATTTCACCCTTTCTCAACATGCTGAGTCTTTGGCCAGCCGCTGATGGAAGCAGTATTCTGAGCCTTCCCGACTTCGACTGCCGTATAGGCGCTGCATTCGATTCTCAACTCGAATTTTTCCTAGTCATGAAGCACTTTCCCATCTTGGCACAGATATTGCACTCGCTACCCATCTCGGTTATCAATCTTCTGATGCCCTCTGGGGGTATGGTTCTTCCTAGAACCCTTTCCTTAGTGACTAAACTCTAATGTTAAAGTAGGCAGCTTTGCCGAACTAGAGCTCGATGCAAAGCTCCACCTAATAGACCTCATCTCCCGCATGCGCGATGGGACAATGAAAAATAGTACAGCGCACCGGTCCATCTTTGGCGGGATCCTCACCGAGCACCCAGATTTGAAAGCCGACCCGACCGAACTAGCCCAGGAAGCGATGAGCGTTGTCGCTGCCGGAGTTCATATAACCCGGTGGACACTCTGCGTGGGATTGCTAGAAATTGCGAGAGATCCGCTTATCCAGACAAAACTTTATGAGGAACTTAAAATGGCCCGCCCAGATATTAATGCGGATTTTTCCCATGTTCAATGTGAAAAGTTGCCGTATCTGGTTCGTCGTCGTCGTCGTCGTTATCCTTTTATTAATGTGAACAGCTGTGCTGACAATGCGTAGAGAGGTGTGATTCTTGAGATGCTCAGGTTGTCATATGGTGTCGTTGGGCCTTTGCCCCGGCGAGTACCCAAGGACGGAGCCGTTGTTGGAGGTTACCATCTCCCAGGAAACGTGAGTACTGGCACCACACCTACCGTACTTTGCTTTACTCGTTTCATAACAAATTATTATATAGTCAACAATCGAAATGGACAGCTACTCCATCCACCACGATGAGGACATCTTTCCGGACTCCCGTCGCTTCTGGCCAGAACGCTGGCTAACCCCCGAGTCCAAGCAGAAGGAGAAATTCGTTACCTCTTTCGGAGCAGGACCTAGGCAGTGCCTCGGTATAAAGTGAGCATCCCCCTTTGGGAGCTGCATGCTGTCATTGTTCATTAGAGCTAACACTGTTAGTCTCGCGATGTGCGAATTATACCTGGCCACCGCGACTATCTTTCGTCGTTTTGAGATAGATATTAGTGCTCGGGGTCCCGAACGGATGAAGTTCACAGAACACATGGTTGTCGTCCCCCGAGATGAACCATTACAATGTAAGGTCATCTCAAGGAAAGAGTAAACGGATTCATGATTTTTTGGCTTTTCCTTTGTTTTATATTTGCCCGCAGTGTGATTTCACCATCATCTAACTTTATGAGCATCATTTACTGTATTTTTTTCCCCCTCTTGTAATACCCTAGCGATAGCAATACGATGCTGTGCAATTCAAAAAATGAAAGGGTGAAAAAATGCGTGAGGCAACCCAAGAAACTGGAAGACAGTCCAAAATGAAATGTGGAAAATAGTCATATGGCTCTGCCCGCTATCTCCTTAAAACTAAAAGAATCCCAGATATCCCCCTAGTGGAGCACCGGGGGCAACAAAAGGCGGGTATGTCGGTGCTTGAGGTGGCAGTGCATATCCTTGACCAACCGGAGGGGTTTGTAGTTGCGCTATACTTTGGGTTTGGGGAGATAGCGGGCTCGAAGGAGGGTACTGTTGAGCGGAGGGATCGATCCCGGCGCTGGCGGGGGGAGAACTCTAGGATGCCTATAGTCGTTGGCTGTAGGGATCTGCAGCCACTGCTGGGTACTGTTGGGTACTTGGGTTGGTAACGAAGTCGCCTGGAGGGGGGTTAGCGGCGGGCTGGCCGGTGGTGGGATCACTAGCAGGAGGCGAGAGAGACTGAGCTTGGCCAGGTACCGTTTTGCCAGCATTTTCTGGGTCCATCAAATTCTGAGGCGTGGCAGTACCGGGAAACGTTGTTGGTGGTGCGACTTCCGACTGGGCCGTGCCCGGAAATGTCGAAGGGGGCAGCTCGGTATCAGGATCTACCGGTGGGGCGGCTACCGGGCCCATTGGTGTAACAGGTGCTTGACCAGTTCCGGTGGGCAGTGTTGTGGGTGCCGCGGGGTTAGGTGCAGAAGTGGTTGTTACTGTTGTTGGAATGGCTGGATTGTTCTTGCTGATAGCTCCAAGTGTAGCGATAGGACCCACGGTGGGTACTGATACCCCGATTCCCTGAAGTATAGGGGCACCGCTTTCCCTAACCATACCCGCGTCTGTTTGAGCACCAGACGAAGCTAATGGACTCCCTTGCTGTTGGCTATTCCATTTCGCTAGAGCTTTGCCTTCCTCCGTTCGTTTATCGACAATGGGGCAGCATTGATCCTGGAAAGGGATTTTGATGTTCCGTACCGCTATGTATTATATCAGCACATATATCTCACCTTGAGGATGGAACGAATAGCATACGAAAAGTGTGGTCTCCCGAGCTTTCGCGTTTATCGTTCTGTCCTGCCCGATGAGGGCAATGAGGTCCAGATTGACTTCATTCTTTTCCAAGATTCCAGTTGTTGAGTTTGCCAAGGTTTCGTGCTTGCTCCCAGGGCATGCTTGGGTATTATCTTCCTTAGTAATGGTCGTGTATGTCCTCTTCAACCTCGGGAGCTTTAGCTTGAAGCCTGGCTCGTATCCAAAGACTCCTGCGAGTTGGATTCCGACCGCTAGAACTAAGTTTGTACTGGCCTGAAATTCTGCGTCAAGAGAGCCCGCAAGAAGCTCGAACGGAAGACCCTGCATTTTTGCACCTTCCCATTTCGAGGATTCATGCTTGTCCTTGTCGAGGAGATCTTTCCTATATATTGCACTATTAGGGGCCTACCAAATGTTAGGAAATTGCCATTTATTTTCATCGATATATATTTTTCTCTAATAAGACGCTAATTCTTACCTGCCCTTTGAACCCGAATCTGAAGTCAACATCACTTTTGATCAGAGAGCTAACCCCAACCTCAAATTCAAACTTAGGCCCTAGCATAAAGATTCCAGGAATCATGACTAGCGGCAGTATAGCCGTGAATATATCCACTTCAACCTTCAATCCGATATCAACCTTACCATCTCGATCCAAATCCTTCGACTTTCGGGTGAAAATCCTAAATTTCATCATAGTTGTGAGATCTACCGGCTTGTCCTCGAAGAATGCCGATTTGGGCAGAAAGTCTTCGAACTATGAGAATTGTTAGAGAGCGCAGAGGTAAGAGTAGAGAATGTACCTGAACATGACCGGAGATGACGATCTTCCCAGTGACATAACAGTCTATACAATCAATAATATCGTTGGGACTGCCCTTGCTGTAGGTCCATTATATAGTTGCTCATTCACCGAGAACTCTCCGGAGGTGATAGATTTTTCACCCGCGAGCCCAAAAAAATTATGATGCCCGGATTCCTGAGGGGGTAAAATAAGTAGCATTCGGATTAAACGAAAACGGACGAAGATCGCGCTATTCGGGAATAATATAAACGATAGTCATGAACTTGGAGTATGTGAGGGAGGAACTCGCAACACGAGAATTGAAACCAGAAGCTTGCTGCGAGATAGTCACGTGACGCGAAATGAACGCAGTTTCCAAGACGATGTTTGGAAGGCAGAATTATTGGGAAACTCAAGCACCGATACTATATAAATACTACCGTATAGGCACCAGTCTTTTCACCTTGCTCCCAGAGAAATGGACCCTTATAAGATGCCGTTAGGTAGGAATGTTCTTATTTACGTTATTTACGAATTTTTGGTCTGAGAAATGCCGATAAACCCTTATCACATGATTACCCCCACCAGGAGCGACTAGCTGAGGACCTCGACACCCACGGTAAAGATTAGTCAAAATTCCGCACCAAGGCGATGCCCTTCAGGGACCGGCTGGGCCGTGGGAGTCCTGGGTTTTCAACACTGGCGCCGTTATTCATGGCATCTAGTCCGACCCGGTTTACCGGTGTACTGTACAGTACCATGTTCCAGTGTTCACCGTAGCGAAATTACCTATTATCGAAACTACCGGTACCTCAGGCTCACCTTTTCCTCAGCCTTCAATAGAGATCCTATTTGTACACCGTATTAGGGTACAAATCAGCTGCTAATAGAGGTTTTGGGCCAATCTGCTTGGGGCGATTAGAGGTAAAGTGTTTAGGCTTTCCTGGTGAACTATTTCCTTTGAATATTTGATCAAGTGATATACTATGTCCCCTGGGGGGATATAGTCGCCTACACAATGGCAATAAAGTCTTCAATCACATGTCGGAACTTTTGGGAAGGTGAGGGTATTAGTTTTCAAGCTTATCTGAAGAGTTGGGTAATGTTTCCTTGATTTTTTAGCCAAAGTTTTTCTAGTGACACACCTGTTAAGGCTATGGTGGGGGATTGATCATGGCTCATCTAGCCGTCAAGGTCTTTGTTTTTCCGCTCAGGTGATCGGGTAGTCTTGGCCATCCACAATATCTACGCTGCCAGCAAGGTTTTGTCTATTTGAGAAACTGGCTTGTAACTTATAGGGGTTTGTGGGATCATCTGGCAGCGATACGGAGCATCAGCGATCGCGATGTGAGGTAACTTTGAGGAAAATATTCTTGCAGCCTACCTTGTATACTCGGTTTCCCTAGGTTCAGAACCGTTAGCTGCACGGACCATTGGCGATATCTATAAGACTGACCTCATTAAACTTAAGTTTGAGCTTGTATCCATGTCGATATCCCTAACTGTACTCGGGTCAGGGCGTAAATGATGAGACGGAAGGGGGTCAGAGAATGTATGGAGATACATACATTTTCCGACCCCCGTCCGTCTCATCATTTATTCCCTGACCCGAGTAAGCTAGGTATTTCAGCTCATCTTCGATAACGTTCTAGGGCGGAGAATTTACGATTAAATAGATGATGTTATTGATCAAACACCAGAAGATGTGAGAAACACAGTTACCGATTGACATCCTCTAGCGATACCTTACCCTACTACCGTACACTAACTGCAAACCAGCACCGGAGCAGTGGGGCACTATGCCAGTGGCCTAGGATATCATTGCATTTAAAGATTTGATTGAGAACCAGCCCCAGTGGTTACACTACGCAAAACCCCTGGGGCTCAAGCCGTAATGAGCGAGATCGCGGTATCATATCATAGCAACTGCAGGGGTAATGCCTGGAATGACGTCTCTGCGAAGGCCGCCAATACTGTACTCACTATGACTTGTGGACTAGTATTCCTGAATGGTTTAACAGCCAGAACATTGGTCGGTTTGCGCATATCATATGCTCAACGAGGCAATTTTTGGAACTTATGGGGTTTGGAATGATGCCTACCCAATTCCTAAGTTGGTTGGTTTGGTTTACGGAGGCATTCTCCGTAAAGATGCGGGAGTGCCATGGGGCGAGCTGTGCTCGAGTAGTGACACAAGGCTACAGTATTGTTACGGATGAAATTTGATTTTGCTTTCTTATATTATTTTTAGCTAGTTTCGCAAATCTTTAGCTTAGCTTCACAATTATTTTAGTTAGCTCTTTACTCAGAATGGGGAATCATATATTGTTTGTATTTACTGGGAGCTGAATATGTTGTGTTCTCAATGGGAGAGGGTTTGCTAGGCTTGGTGGACAGGGGGGTGGAAGTTTAGTCTATATAGCCACGGTTTTCTTCTCCTATTTTATTTTTTTCTTTACCACTACCACCACCACCACTACCACCACCACTACCACCACCACCACCGCATTTCAACGGAGGAACGGAGGAACACGGAAAGTGGGGAAACGGTTTTGAATTTGTGTCTTGTAGCTAGATAGTTGGACAACCAGGACAGGTTGGATTTTTTTTCCTCTGGGGTTTTCTTTTTTTGAGGTTTGTCTTGTGCGAAGAGGTTGATTAGCTAGCTTGGAGATTGAAGGTGATCGCAATTGCAAGGCATTTTCTTACGGTTCGAAAGTTTCATCAGTGATTGTTGGTGACTAGCAGGTTCTCATCCTGTGAAGTACACATACCATTCCGCACAAATCTTTTGTTTTTCAGTATCATGTTAAAATGCAACTATCGACGGAAAATAAGGATGTTATGACAAAATCGACGAAATCACTGTAATCCGTTGTGGTGTAACGGCTAGCATCCGTCGCTTTCACCGACGAGATCGGGGTTCGATTCCCCGCAACGGAGCTTCCTTTTTTTTTTTCTTCCTTGATGCCCCCCTTCCAGCTTCCACTTGTATCATACGTGGATCGCTTTTCTCCATCGTGAAAAATATCCCCCCGAACGACCGGGGACTCTTTTTTTCCTGTCATATTATGAACCGTCAGGTCCTAGTTGGGCCTTAGGTACCGTAGACTACCGGTATCGGTAAAGTCAGAAGGGAACCAACTCACCATGAACCCGTCCAAGTCCCATGATATCGAGGTCGCGTCTAACAATTAATGGTGGGGCTATCCGCCAAAAAGTTTAACGGTGTAAAAGGGGTAAATTATTTACGGTACTGTGGTCAGAAGATCTTAACACTAAATAGCCAATGCATTTGGTTGTCATTCCCACTCACTCACGCCACGATGCCTAAATCCATCAACCCGATGAGCTCGGTCCAAATGGAAGCAGGAATTAGGGTATCGTACTGCAATGTGGATGGTTAAGGTGGATGATATTTTCCTCCTTCCCGGAACCCATTTGCTCACCGATTCTGAAGATATCCGGATGTTCGGGCGCCGTGCCCCTGGGACTCACACCTGAATCTGCGGTCTTGGCAGCAGGATTTCCGGATACCCGTACCGGTACCCTTGGAATTGGCGAGAATTCATAGAATTTGTTGTTGGAGCCACGTCTATCCCGTATGGAGCCGCCGAATCGCCTATGGCATTGTTTACGGGTCTTATCTTGTACTCGTGAAAGGAATGTACCGATAAGATGGTGTCCATCTGCCTGTAATATGGTTTGTTTTCTTTTTTCGAAGGAATACTCGTGCTGGTATGAGACCAGAATACAGGCACAAGTGCCCTGCCCCTTTGGGGCCCACGAATCATCAAGAGGTTTCGGTACGGTATTCGGTGCGGGGAACGTTACACTCGAGCGACAGCTGATAACCTGGCACCTTACATCCAACCCAAGGCAACTGTGGCCTCATCACAAATTCATTATTGATACCTCAACTCCATCTTCCGACGGCAGCGCGCTTTTGCAAAGCGTTCTCATCATTGTTCGGTACGACAGCGAAACTTGCGAGAATCAAGATGCGCCGAACTGAGGGAAGGATCATTTGGAAATCGAACGTCAGGCCTCTAGCCCCCCCCCCTTTGCCCTTCCTCCCGGCCGAAATCCTTTTCCAGATATTTGAATATCTGGCGCCCAGCAATACTCTCCCGCAATCTCCCGTTCACACCTGCCACGGAGTGACCCTGGAGAGATCCCCTTCCTCCAACGACTACACCTGTACGACATGCCAGACCGGCTACCTTCTCTCTGTCAGCCTTGTATCTCGTCACTGGTACAAGACCGCCCGTCCACTTCTATACCGCGTGGTTCGAATAGGGTATAGTATGTTCACGCCAGGTGATGAGGACAATCTACTTCGATTGCGTGAACAAAAAGTTCCAGTGGAGTAAAGACGACAGGTTTTTCTTCAACGTCTTCGACCGCGAGAGGCCCGAACGCAGCAAGATTGGTGCATGCCACGCAGGACTTATAAAAATGCACGAGAAGACAAAAATAGAAAAACTGAATGCGCGGTTGAAGACACTTCGGTTGTTCCGACGAACGATAACTCGGGGTCCGGAAATCAGAAAGATGGTAGTCTGCTGGGAGTTGGGCGCCCTCTTTCCGATGCCGATGCCGGGTTGGCGCGGGCGAGCGGCGTTGTCGAAGAGGGGCCTAAAATATCGTTACCCGTTGGCCGATACGCTGGAGAAGATTGGGAAGCTGGTAGAGGAGACTATACCTTATCTGACTTCGCTACGGTGGATTGACTTCCATCTCGATCCAGAAGTAGTCGGAGCGTCCGCGGAGGCCCTGAGCTATATTGTGAAGAAATCAATTACGAGAATGACCTGGAAGCCGCGGCTGGAAGGCTGCAAATGCAATCACGTACGGATCAAACTCCCAATCGGCAGAACGGGATACAACGACATTCCCACGCAGAGTTATGGGTTATCTGAAAAGTCCCCTAGCCTCGAAATATACAGCGACTTTGACCTGCCATTTTACAGCCCTGCGATATTCAAAGCACTCGCAACAGAGACCTGTGAAGTGGAAATCAGCCGCCCGACTCGGCCTTCGCTTAGAAGAGATTCACCAACCGTGGACGCCATTGATTTTCCCATGACAACAGCGATGCGCTTTATTGGCGCAGGAGCGCCGACAATATCGCAGATTATCCGACGGGAAGCGAGGCGAGCTGCCACAGGAACAGGAATGCTGACCGCAATCACGGTGGGAGATAGAGATATCCGGTTCGTGGATCTCAGGAACTTGCTTGCCCACTCCAAGAATCTGAAATATCTGCGCTTGGAAAATGTTGATGTTTCGGCCCCTACGAGAGGGGATATAGAAACCTCACCGAGAGCGACAGTGTTGAAGTCTGCTACATTGAAGTCAGTCTTTTGGGATATCATCCTGAGAGGTGAGGAGGATACACGCACCGAGACTGTTACTTACTATCTCGTCAAATCGACTTCTGAGGCCTGCTTTCCGGTTCTTGAGAGTCTTTCGGGGCCTGCGAAAAAACCATACACAGAGTGGTGGTTGAGCGAGCTCAGGCGTGTACACCCTCAGAAGGATATTGAGATGAGATCCTCCGAGAATGAAGTAGAGATGGTGTTACGACCTTCCACAAAAGCTGCAGATGAGGTGGGTGAGCAAACGAGACGGAGGAGATTCCCAGCGCGCGTGCTGACTTTCATTCTAGCACGTCGTACTCACCAGGCGCACCTCGTGGGCCCGAACCAATAGCCAACCATTCAGAGATTATTTTTTTTGTTAAATCCGTGGCATGATTGTAGGTATAGTGCATGACAAGCATTTCCTAGGGTACAGCCATTGCGTGTGGGAAGGATCCCATGGCGGATAAAAACTCAGAGCGAAAACAGAAACAGGCGCTAATACTGCCCATACAGATACTCGTCAGAGTTAGTGTTCCGAAAAGAAAACCTTCATGAATCTGCCGAACCTCAGGCCACTGAAATCATCTTATCAAATTTCGTCCCCCGCTGTACTACTCGACTACTCAACAATTTATTTCGCATTTTGTCGCGGCGCCCGCTTGCGTCCTTAGCGGGTCTTACGTGTTTCGACTTGGACAATAGACTTAAGAGTGATGCCGATGCCGGCATGTTTGTGTGATAGCAGTAGGGTGTCAGTCATTTCTGCTGGTTCAGAAAGAGCACTAGGCCTCAGACTGAAGTTCTGTTATATCGCTTCTCCTAATGGAAGAAGTATGATATCTTAGATAAGAAGTATGTGAGGAGGACGCAGCAGGGTGCTAGTCGGGGTAGGGTACGGCCGGTGGCAGCAGCCCAAGCATGGCGCTAACCGGCGGTCTTGTGTATTTTTCAACCTTGTACTATAAAGCCGGTTTTTTTTAACTTTAAGTATAGGAAGCGGGCATTTGGTGTTTCGATCCCCGCGAGTTATTGGACGCTCCGATCTCGGAGTGCGGGGAAATATCGTGATGGGTTTTCCGGGTACTGTGCGATTCCCAGGGCGGAAAGAAGAGGATGGCGCCTGGCCAGCCATTCAGAGATGCAGTATTGGAGTAGATGTTATAAACGGGGAGGCTCGGGAACTTCCAAAACGTAACCATGGCCATTTCCATGGCGTGTAGCGCTCGAATGACAATACTAGTACGGTATCTAAAAAGCAAACACTTCGGTGGGACCTTTACTTAATGATTTCTGCGACCGGGCTCACTGCTTCGAAGCCTGAGACCATCACCCACGGCCGCTAGTAGGATTTACTGTGCAGTGCAAGCACAAATAAGACACCAATGACTCTAGCAATAGCCCCACTGATACCAGTCTAAGTCCAGTCTAACCTCTCCCCACTGGCTACGAGCTTGGTAGATGAGGACCATGTGCATGTGTAGTAATACTAGTCTCAACAACAGACTTTGGGCTAGATCGAAATTATATCTACTAGCTCGATTACGGGAACACCAGTACCAGTGTCATGGTATCCCCCCGCACCGCAAGGTGCTTCTACAATGCTTTGAGGTCCTTTGAGGATAGTCGCACCAATAATCCTTGTATATACAAGTACCATTACCGGTATTGCAGTGTCCGGGAGGGATCGAAGATACATTGTTGCAGCAGAAATTCGGCAAACAGTATCAGCACATGAGTCGAGACCACCGGGATATATCTATTCTTATTTTGCAGCCCTGAGATTCTTCCCCAGAGCTGGTCCGGCTAGTTGGGTTCTGAAATGTTGTGCTGTACCCATGGAAGGAACATCCTGCATGATTGATACCCCGGTGCAGACCTTTAAAAAAGGAAAGGGAAGAATAAAATGATAATTCCAAGATTGCTGACCGCGGGTTCCACAAAAAAAGTTTGCGGGGACAGAAGTGCTAGTAAGAGAAGGTCTAATATAAGAACCCCTGTTTCTCTACTAGGAAAAATTGTGTATTCACATTCTATATGCTACCTTCTAGATCCCCCATACGATATCCTTCCCTAACCTCCCCTCGACGGATGCCCAATACGATATATCATACCACAAACCCTCTCCCTCTTGTCAACTGGTGCAAGGGCGGAAATCTGAGTACACCATATTGCGGTGGCCACACCGCGCCCTCAGCCAAAGAGAGAAAAACGATAGATATCATACGTTGTGAGATTTGTCGGTGCCCTTGACAACCTTCGAGTGACGTCTTGTGTTGTGCTGACACTCGCGTTGCCGGTAGCTTGTTTCTCGGGTTGTTGGTGGAATGTGATATTGTGGCAGTGCACTTGTACTCGAGATACCGGCACCTCCTCGACTTTACTATCCTCATTTAGATGAAACATCGCCAGCCAATTGTGTGACCGGGGGTTATCTGTTTTCACTAAGGTCCTCGTACCGGCATGGTACTTAAGGCCAGGGGCTTTAAACAGTCACTGGCCCAGTTATGGTGCTGTACAAGCCACAGCGGATACGAGGTGACTCAGCCATTGGCTCAGTCATTGACAATACGACGTGAAAAGCAAAAATGTCAACTACCGTATGATACCCCAGATATAAAACATATAGACCATGCAATACTTTCCCCCTCCTTTCCATCCAACGAGAAGTCTACGAAATCCTAAAGCATAGGGATCTAGGATTTCCACCACGTACCTCAAACCCCCAATTTCAACCGCCGTCAAACTCCTACGAAACCGCAATGAGTGAAGCCCCAACCGGGCAGGTCGATAACAATGCACCGCCGGCTCACACACCTTACCCACACACCCTGACCTTCGACACGTTTGTGAAGCGCTACGTTCCGGCCCTGAAGGCGGCCAGCGAACAGGAGCAACAGCCTCCTTTCCCCTCTAAAGCAAGGCTCATGGGAACCCTAAAGTTGCATGGCTATAACGCGACAATCGTACTATTCCCCTCTATTCCCTCCCTTTCACACTCAACCCATTGCCCAGATTTTTCTCTACAAGCTTATCGAAGGCGGTAGAGCGGTATAGGGGAATTAGAATTAATTCGATGAAATAAAAATTGTAGATGTTCCGCAACGATGATCGACACAATCCGGTCTTCCAATCACGCAACAGGGTAGTAACATCCCAGGACGCGGGACCGATCCCTGCACTTCTGAACGGCAAACCTCTACATCTACTCGTCGATAAGATAATGAAAATCTACAACTTGGGGAAGGGGCAGCCAGACACCACCCCATTCTCCGAAATCATGATAGCTGGCGAGGTCGCTGGGCGCGACATCTACAGGAATGTCGCCATCAATCGACTTCCCAGGTTCTTCTGCATTTTCAACATCAGGGTGGATGGGGCGTGGGTCGACATGCGCGAGTACAAGGACGTGTCAATAGAGTCCGAGCGCATTTTCAACATCATGAAATGGCCCACGTGGGAGGCGACAATCGATTTTATGGAAGATACGACGGAGATTTCAAACTGGCTGTATGAGATCACGAAGAAGGTGGAGGACGAATGCCCCTTTGCAGCGTCGTTTCTGGACTCCAGGGGGAGGAAAATATCCGGAACTGGGGAAGGCCTGGTCTGGACCATGATACCGTTCGAAGGCGAAACCTGGCCAAGCGATTGTACGACGCTGTGGAACTTCAAGACCAAGGGGGAGAAGTTCGAGGTCGTCAGCCGGATCAGGCCGACCACGCCCAGGGACCCCGACGCTATCGGTCTTGCTACAGCGTTTGCGGACTACGCCATTACAGAAGCTCGATTCGAGCAAGGGGTCGAGTACCTTAGGGAGGTGGGAACACTGGAACATGGCCGGAACGGCAGGAGGAGTACCCCCCAATTCACCAAATGGGTGGAGAACGATGTGATAGAGGAAGAATGGGAGAGAATGGTGGAGTTGGGCGTCGAGGAAGCAAAATTGAGGAGGGTAATTGCTGAGCGCGCAAGGAATTGGTTTTTCGGCTACCTCGATGAAGTGCAGTCGTAGTGCTCAGGCGCTGCCACGGACACGCAGTGGGGACGAGATAATTTCTGCCAGTGTCCGACTTACTTAGTCCCTATGTTGCGCAGATCTGGAATGGGTCAGAGCGCTGTTGGCTTGCTAGTATCATCATCGGATAAATAAAACTAATCGCTTCATTATGGCCACGGTTTTTGTACGTAGATCTATCGCAACTAGCGTTTTCTTGGCAATTGAGACTTGCTAGTTGTAGCTCGTAGAAAACACTGTACGGACAATATGGGGTTCATCCAATTGCTAATGTGAGAAAGGAAGAAAAATATGGATCTCGATTCATGTGAAAGTTCAGTGAATGAGCTAGCTGCAGATGCCAGGGTAATGTAACAAAACCACACTATAGAGTACTATGGTTTGTTCGTACACAGGGCCGAGTGTCCGATAATCCAGGATTCCAAGCTTTATTTTGATGGGCGTGGGGGGAAACAAAACCGTTACTTGGAGGGGGGATTTCGACGCCCTAAGGAAAGTTTCTCTTATCCAAGTCACAGTAATATGTTAATTTATTCACCGTGGATTCCTCTGTTGGCCCGCAAAGGAGTACGAGGTCTTTCCGGAGCGACTGGCGTGGTACAACCAGCTGTGATGCCGCAATCCGCACATATGCAGTGTTATAATGATGTACAATCAATTCCATCTCCACACAACCCACAGAACCGGGAACAAGAAAGGAACCAGAGAGGAGGAAGGAAGGTAGTATATTGTGGGGTCGGGCTTAAAGAGGTGCGTCTGACTGACAAAGGTGTGATTTGGGCGACACCTGTTTTATAGATAATATTATGATAGCTGGGTAAGTTAATCGATCACGCCCTCTCACACAACGCAACTCGCAAGGGTAATGTGTGGGGGAGAGTTGTTTTTTTCGCGAGAGGCCGAGAAGCGCGGTCTGGCTTCCCAGTGTGATCCGCGGCATGTATCATACGTTCTCGAGCAGGGGGTGTCGAGGCCGGAGTTCCTGGAGGTTCTGGTGCTAGAATTTTCCCGTGCTCTTGCATCTGCCTTGCTTAGGTATATTATAATAGAGGTTTGGCAGGGAACTATATTATTCTCCCCATGCAATACCGTGGAGTACGATACTGCTAGTGCGCCGGGCGTGGGTTGGGCCGCTAGGACTGTTTTGGCTTCTTTCTTTCTCTTCTCATTTTTTTGGAGGGTGAAGGCGGAAGAACAGCTCAGGCTATCTCAGTCTCAATAAGCTTTGAAAGAGGTGTTGGATGTTACCCTATCGATTTGCAAATCACTCATTCCTCAAGGGAACTATGATACTATTCACTTCTTCTTAGTGGTACTGTATAAACCAAGGAAGGAACAAATAATTCGATTCATTAAACGGGAACAGCTGTATATATAACGTTCTAGATCAACTGATGTCGTTCATATTGGTTTTATTATAATCCAACTATCAAATGATAGGTTGAGGCTCCCGCACGGGAGACTTACTCCTAACTTACACGGTAACAAACACCCTATTCCAACTCCGAAGGGAGCGAAATCCCAGAGCTATCCAGGGGGGAAGGACGTAATACTAGAACCCAAGCTATACGGAGAGCGCTCCGCGCATCCCTCGACTAAAGTCTTATCTCTAGAGATAGCACGAGAGAGGACATCCCACCACCCACACCCTAGGGCAACACCCTCTATCACTCGTTATCCCCCCCGCTTCCGAAAAGAAGTGCTTCCTTTCGTGCTTAATACCCAGCGTAATCTTGCATGCAATTGCAGGGAGGTTGGTGTCCGTACATTTCAAGTATAATGCATGCTTGACCACCTGCATGCTATGCTACGCATGGTTGGTGGTGATAGCAACACTCAAATAGAAGGCTGATCGTGCGCAAGGAAAATCGGTGGTGGATGAAGCACGACTGTTGTACACAAGTGGTTCTTGTGTTCTAAGAGAACCGTGTGTGGAAAGGAGTGTTCAATATTCGATGTACATGCTCAAGAGAGACTCAGAGAGAAAGGGAGGATCCCAGCACTGCTAAATACAAATGTGGTGGTCGAGTACAGTACACCAGTGTGCATTACCCAAAACAGTCCTCCCGGTGCATCAGACCTCACTGTGCCCCAACCTAATACTGATATCATCCCACGATGGGATTGCTCTATCAGGGGGTTGGTCATCGGGTGCGCCATGCATAGGGACAGGTATGATAAAGGCACATCTATGAATTATCATAATATGAGGCCAACATTAACACCCTAAGGTACAGTACATGTGCGCTCGCACAGCATGAGAAAAACAATCCAATCGTCTTGTGACTGAGTATGATACGTTGTTAAGCCTATTGCATTGAAGTGCCCTCTCTGTGTTCCAGGGACTGGCGCTTGATTTATTGGCTGAGGGTAGTATCATAAGCCTTGGATCTACTATACGCTATGGTTCACCCCAGATAGACCTAGTTACTCGGGCTCCGTCCGGATACGCAGAGGGGGTCTCGTGGCGATACGCTATGATAAATTAGATGGTGACCTCACCTTCCGCTCAATCGTGACACAGGCTCTAACCCTAAAGCCTAAAGAGTCCGGGGGGACATGTAACTCACACGCGGTTACTCACTTCGGACCCTGCAAACTCCTACAAGTGATACGGTTGTCGCTTGCATCATCGTCACTAACTTGAAAGTCGGACGCAATGCCCAAAACGGGGCTACCATAAGTCATTTAATATTATACCATGGTGCTCTAATAGCTACTAACAGAATTCATTCATCCATAGAGAGATAATCAAAGTTAGAAGGTTGGTGATATAAAAGAGCAAAGGACACACAGGCCCGGGCGTGGGTAAGGTAGGATTTAGAGAGGGTCACATCGTCTGGTTCCCATACCAGCATACTAATAAATGTGTAGTAGGAGTGATCAGTGTTTATAATTCATCCCTCGAGGGGGTGTCTTCTCCAGTAGGGCATCCAATGTTTGGTGATGATATGTTAACTTTAGTCCCAACACTGGGTAAAAATCCCAAGCCTAACTACCAGCAGTACAGGTATTTTCTCTCTCGATGGCGTGATATTAGGAGAGGTATCTAGCTGGCTCTGCGGCTAAGATGGGAAGAACCAATTAACCTTCACGCAACTACTGGTATCAGCAGCCCAGTGGCCCAATTCTCACTCATAATTATTTATGATAATATGATATGATACTACCCAACCATCCATCAAGTGGGGCAGGAAGGGCAACAGGCTTACCCTATCGGGATTAGGAAATCGAGGCTCCTAGATTCTCGGAGTAGGCTCATAGGGCAAAACCCGTCCTTCTACGAGGTGTGAGAACAGCATCGGGCCCTAGGCCAAAACACCCGAGTGTGAGGACTGCGATCCGCTAGGTAGCGTAAGGGAAAAAAGGAAAAAAGAGACAAGAATTGAAAAAGAAAAAGAAAAATTTTGTTTTGACTTCTTTGGTTTTTGGAAGGGTGGTTTCGAGTATGAGCTCTGTCGCGGAGATCGGTGAACTGGTCTGTAGGAGGCCATTTACCACGGAACCACCCTCTACATCGCCTGAGTTACAAATCGGCTAGATTCTCAAAAGAAAGAAATAGGTAGATAAATCGAGTGTGGATAAATTTTTTTTTACTAGCGAAAGGTAAATAGAGTATACTATACTAGAGTGAACACAGCGGATCTCAAAACTCTACATAAAGTTCTCTGAGAAGTTTATCGTTCAGGGCAGTGCCATAGGGTTGGCACCAAGTGGTGCTTGGTGACGGACACGAGCCCGGTTGGGAGGACCCCATGATCGAATAATCAAGCGTTTCTCGTAGGGTAGCTGTTGAATGGCAATCGTTCCTTTCCACTGACGGTCCAGTCATTAAACAGCTCTCCCATCTACAGTCAAACTTATTCCCAGCACCCACCTACTGTGGCGGGCCCCATGGGTGATTCATACCCCACCGTCTGCCCAATGTATCACGGAAATCTGTGACTGAACCAGATCCCCCTTCTACTGCGCCCTCCTACAGAGCCCGGTGCTGTTCCTGCCACTGTCCATCGCACGGGAGAAGTGATCCCAAGACAATGGCTTTGAAAAGCCTGAGTCAGTCCGGCAGAAAATTACCAGCCGCCTACAAAACCCAGCAGTACCCAGCAACCGCCAGGTCGGGTCTTGACGTACCCCAAGTCAAAGTTAAGGGATTCCCAAGCAATAAACTCTTTCTTCGATAGATGCTATTACAGTGCAACTTCTTGATTACCAAGACGTATGGGTATGGATAGAGCGACCGGCCACGACCGAGAAATACCCCTGATGGAGAAAATCGAGCAGATCAAGAGGATTCTGCTTGGTCATGATCTGATCGTATCCATTACTCAGAAGTGATGCTTAGGGAGTAGGGCAGTTAAGGCACGATTCCTTCCCAATTATAACCTGTTGGGCACTCTCCATGGTAGATTGCACAATTCACGGAGAGGGATACATGATATCAGCAAGCATCAACCAGAGTCTACTGGTAAACACTATCCGGGTGATCACAGGAACTCACTCGTGTTGATTTTTCGTGCCCCAGCCAATCACCATCGTTTCGCTGGTGTCATATGACTGTGTCACAGATCCATGAAAGGTTGATGACAAACGATAAGCATTTTGAAAGCTGTTTACAAGCACTTCACGCTTTCTATAATAAACTTGTTAGTGCACGGATATATGAGTAATAGTTCCCGACCGCTCGGTCAGTACACATGACCCCTACAGATGCACACCCAAAGTGAACAAATAAATAGCTAAACCCCAGCAATTTCTCATTACTGATATGGTATCGCTGTTGCTGCTGTAACCACCCTTCCCAAGTGAAGGAATCCTGGAGTCAGCAAGCAATGACCAATAACTTATCGATAAAGTTTCTCGAGAATATCCCTGCTGATGGCGCCATATTGACTCACCGAGGACCCTCCCCGTTCGCAAGAGAATGACTGGTTTTCGTCATTTCCCACCACTACCCATATATCCGGCGAATATTCTGATGTTCATCCCAGTTACACACCCCTTCCGAGCCCACCTCTCATCTTCTTTACTCTCCAAATCCGCCACCCACATCCATGAAGTGCGAGACAAGACAGAGCGATGCCCAATTGCAAGATCCTTGAGTCCCCTCCCTAGGCTCCTTCCTCGCTTCCGGTACTCTAGACGTCCGGAGGCTTTGGCTGGGATTCAACTGTGTGCTGTTTAATGTAGCACTTGGATCATAAACCCTCTGCGACTCGGTGGCTCTCCAGTTCTCCTCGCTCCGTAGGCTTGAAAATCCCATCAAATTCACCTCCTCCCTGCTGATGCTCTCTGTGTGAATATGTGGAGGGGGGTTGGTAGTGCTCTGCTCATAATGTCGCAAGGCTTGTGAAACGGGCTGATATTGTATACTGCCAGAAATTGGGCGGAACCTCGGAAATTTGGTGGTGTGCAATAGCAGTCCGTTTTACAAACGTCACGACATTATGAGTAAGGGTATTTCGTATATTAGACTATGATAAGCGTGAGACATCGGGAGGACACACCTGCATGAGCCCGCAGAGTAATGATTCTTCAGTAAGACAAATGCACCACGACTTCCATATCCTATGCCGGTACTGCACTTGACGGATATCAACGTGGGAACTCCCACTACGAATTACCATATATCTGCTTCTCGTCGAGTGCAGAGAGATGCCCACGCCGAATGTACCTGTGTAGTATAGCACAGTCTAGACTCCCTCCGTCCTACCCGTGCACAAAAAAAAGGTGACCGGCACGAGGACCCGCGCCTCGTGCCGAACACTACAAAAAAGAAAGACGAAAAACAAAACAGGGGCCTAAAGTGGAGTGGACGGTGATACAAACTCTTAGGAGGAGTATCCCGGTACGGTAGTGGAATGGAAATCCACGCTATAAAGAAAGAAACCCTTTGGTAATGGGGAAAACGCACTACTGCGCGCAACACGAAACCCGCGAAGGCAGCGTGTACGTTTTTACTCAAGCCCTTCCCACACTTGCCGTTTTCGAACAGAGCATGAGGGCGATCCCACGCCCCGCTCTTGCCCCTCCTCTCCTCTCGCGAGGCCCTCACGCTCTGATCTCGGAAAGCTGCGTCTTTCGTGCAAGTCTAACCGTCCGGGTTATCTCTACACAGCGCCCTGCATGAACCCCCGCGCACAAAATTTTGCATATTGTACCTAGTTATTATACGTTGAAAAGGGTTCCATTCATATTTCATCACTCGGTGAGAAAAATTGTATAGCGTGTGTGTTAATTTCTCGTTGTCCCGGGAGAGAGTATCGGGCGCCCTGAAATATACTGCCTTATGCCGTGCAGCAACAACCTCTCTAGCATCGAGATTCTTGTTTATAATGATGAAGTGAGCTGCCTAAGGCTTTCAATTGAAAGAAAGTGCGGATTTTTTTCTATCGTGAGTTACACATATGTGCGGGGTTTCTCCATCAGTGATGCATATTTGTAACAATCACCGCGGTGTTTACAGTAGAGAGAGCCGCTGCCATACGGCCAGCCCATCCCTGAGCTGTGAGGTCTAGGCCACCTACTATCCCGACAATCGAACCACTCCTGGGGAGCCTGGCTAGGTTAATTGTGCAGTATTTCGGGGGGGAACTAGAGGGGATGATCTGATAACGCTTCCGCGATCTCAAACGTAGTATCCATAGATCACGGCCTCCTGCGGGAGTAACCTCGCGGACCCATTTCGCAGCTGCTGCCCCGCAGCCCCCGTCCTGCCTTCCGCGCCAGATATAAGCAAACCCCCAGAGTGCTGTCGGGGGAATTTTTTTGCGTGAGCCGGACCAATTGTATGTCCGCAACAGCGAAGGTGCCGCTCCCAACGCCCGTGCCATGCTCAGCCATATATTCCCCCCAAATACGTACAATCAGGGGAGAATAATGGGGGAAATGTCACGTACCTAGCCTGCTTAGGTGCAAATAGGGAAGGAGGATAGTACTCTCGAATGGCTCTAGCCAAAACAACCTGAAGGTATGATGAATCGAAAGTTGCCTAGTCTTGCACAATACCCTCCCGAAACCTCGCATTACTTTCAGAAGAATTTTGTGCGAGGAAGGATTCAAGCAAGCCTTTCTCCACCCTGCGCCCTCCTGCTTGTATCTTGAAAGCACTCAGAGGTGTAATAGACCCAAGGCGGGTTACAAAGTGTGTACGACAATCCCCCCCCCGCGCTGCTAGCCGGCGTACGGAAATGAAATTGGTGCAATAGCACATCCCGGGAATTTCGGTCCGAACGGGCCCAGTATAATTGTGCCCCATCCGTGGCAGTGAGGGAATACAATATGAGCGCCTGCGCAGGATCTGCTCCAATCCACCAGGCGCCGAGCCCCCCAACAGCCATTCTCCCCAGTCTGGACCACTCAGTAAACACGAGACCCTAGACCTCGAAGCCCAGGAAAAGCGCTCTCCGCGTGATCGGCCTTTCGCACAATGGTGGGCTTCACGATTGCTCCAATTCTCACTACGTTTTTGCTAGGGCGCTAAGGCCCCGGCGGTTGAAGTTAATATTGCCCGTTTGAGACCAAGTGCCCAATCCGGGTTTTCCAAGCACAAGGCTGTGGTTTGAAAAAGCAAATAGGGCGTAGCGGTTTCGGAGGTAGCAAATCGAAACTCAAATTCCTGCGGAGGGAACCGTTTACTCTACGAACTTCGCACCATGAGCTTATTGACTCGCCCTGGCAACCCTGGAGCCTCCTTGTCTCTGCTAGTTCTCTCCGCGGTTCTGCTTGGGTCGCTCTATGTGATAAGGCTGATGGGTCCGCCACACCAGAAAATATTTGAAGGACGGTTACACGCCAAAAACAAGGAATTTTCGCACATCGTTATTAATTGGGAATTTTGCATTGGATTAGACGAGAAATTTCTAAAATCTACTAGAGAATGTAGGGGATTCTCGGAGATAATTGGGGCAATATCCACGCAATGTCCCCGGCGACGATTAATCCAACGGAAAAACCTTTGACGCCCCTCCCGATGAGGAGGAGGATCTGATATACCCTGCAATGCCCTCTTAAGCTAACTTGGGGAAAAGTAGTTTTCTCCCTAACCTAGATAACAAGCTTCACTTGTGCATATTGTGCACCGAGCAACCCCAAAAATCATTGTCAGCGAGTTCTGGTGTGATAAGGGTAGGTATTGGGAATAACTAATCCTTTCCAGTAAGATAGAGGAAAATTCCCATGACAGCACACAAATCAAATATCCTTAGGAAACTAGAATCTTACGTAGCGCCGGGGGGTAACGAGTATTCGGTGGGATTCCCGTTAGCATGATGTGATCACCTGGCTGGCTGCCGGTTGGGTTTTGGCACGGTCTGGGACAGACCACTGGCACTGGATCTGGCGAGCAGCAGTGTTGCCCTCCAGAGGCAGTCTCCCGGTCCAAAGTTGTATCAGGCGAGTAGAGCACAGTATGCGATGGGACGGCTCCTGCCGCACACTTGTGCTAAAGGACTCGGATGATACAAGCACGCCGAAGATGATACCCTAGTTGTGTCGGGCACATTAGGCCCTTGTCGCTATCCGAGAGGGCATTCTGAGGATATGATATCTATACCGGTATGATATTCTGTTGTTCTGAATAACCCTGTTTCCTCGGTGGGGCAGGGAGAATGGCGTTGCCCCACTATTCACTTCACTCCGTTAGTACTCCCATCTCAGGTTCCCCCCACCATAGCCTGCTCAACCTCCATGCGCAAGCAGCAGCGAGGTAAGACAGAGGTTGGCTTTTGCCGAAGGATCGTGCCATACAGTACCGGTATTCTAGAAGCACAGTAAGGGGGGGGTCTCGGTACTCGAACCGATTCAGGCGTGTTTCCGAAACAAATCTGGATGACAGGTCTCAAAGTCATGCCGACACCGGGTGCTCCTAGAAGCTAGTGAGGGAGATAGCGCCCGATATCCCCACGTAAAGTATTGTAAACTCTTTCGCTGTCTGTAGGCGGGTGTTTGTTCTCTCGTTCTCCGCTTGTTTGGGGGGCTGGTCAATGAACAGAAAGAAGGCGGCTCAGTGGGTACTGCGCCGGTGCAAAGCAGGTACAGTACCTGGGCGGCCAAGTTTTTAGGTGGCGCCTACGAAGTAATACCGCATGTCGCCAGTTGCCTAGAGGCACAGTGCTGTACAGTACAGTACTCTACTGGCGTGACCCCCACAAGGCTCTAAGATCAACAATTCTCTAACCAACACCAACACTGGGCTAGGGAGTCCACAAAGCCACTATCAAGCACTCAGAAATAGAGTAATTAATACCAGCTCTCTTTCAAGGGGGGTGTCGCGGAGCTTATCCTAAGAACCAACCTCCAAGACAGCTTCCCCAGGACGAGGCTACTCGAGTATATTGTTACCCAAGCCCCCACCAATAAGTTTCCAGCTCAGAAATAAACAGATCATGCTTAAAAGCATATACCGGTAGATCTCGATGGAAGGCCCACAGATATAGTGGGATGGGTATCGTATTTTGACATTTCGAAGCCCTATATTAGATGGTGGAAATGGATGTTGGAATTTATTTGAGAATGCATATCTGCGGTTCCGATGGTGGAGAAAAATATTCTGTATCCATCTCTGGAAAAAGGCCGCTACCTGCTTGAATCGTCTCATATACAATAGATAGTCGGTAGACAATAGCGATGCACTCCACCACCCCACACCACTCGATACAGGTAGACTAGCATCCCCTCGATCTATGCTCGAGCGGGTTGTGAATGTTGAAAGTCTGAGGGAGGAGATATGGACTAGTCGAAGACCCCCGGGAAAACCGGGCTATCCTAACCCTAACCCTACATTACATCTACTACCGGTACGTATGATAGCTTGTTGGGAGAAAATACCGGTATGATACTTGTATGATACAACACAGTGCCGGTACTGTTCTCGAAGGCTTGTCTCATAAAAAACATGTTGTCGGACCAAGAATGGGAATCTCAGTGACCGAGGCTTTCCGTGCCCAGTAAAAGCACCTGTCGCTGCCCGAGTAATCGACTATCCAACCACCCGGTTTCATGACCCAACACCGATCCGATATGATACAAGAAATCCCAAACAAAAACCTTCACCCCCCCCCCCGACCATCCATTCATTCATCAAACACATCTGGCCTACTACACATCACCACAAAACTTAATTGCAGCCTCTCACAGCCCCCGGATCTACCTACCTACCCTCCCCCCTGCACAGAGCCGCACAGAGCCGCACAGAGCCCCACAAGAGCCTCAATCCAGTATCCCCGTCATCATCTTCTCCCCTACGATCACCGCTTCTCCCACCTTCCCCCCACCATCTATCAACTGGCAACACCTCCCAAATCCTATATCTCCAATGATCCGTCACTCTCTCCACCGCCTCCGTCCCAAACCTATCCTCTTCACCTTCTCCCTCCTAACCCGGACAAAATCCCACCGCCCAACCCTCCCCCTCCTGTGTGACGCAAAAGTCTCTTCAAGACGCTTCTCCCAGCCCTGCAAGCCTCCGGCCCAATGCGTTCCACCACAACTTCTAGAAATGCACGAATACCACAACGTCGCCGACGGAAGTCTTGAGATACTATACAGAGCATTTGAAGAGTTGACGGGGGATAGAGACGACGTTGATGTTGAGTTTAATGTTTGCCCCCCCCCCCTCTCTGCGGGAGTGTAGCGATTGATGGTGGGAGGATAGTCCGGCGTACTGACATTCGTCCACCCGAACGGAACCTACGTTATCAACAAGCAGCCCTTTAATAGGCAGATATGGCTGAGTTCCCCGGTGAGCGGACCGAAGCGGTACGATTGGAATTGCAACGATTGGGTGTCGGCCCGGGATGGGAGTCGGATGAAGGATTTGCTGGGGAAGGAGGTCGGGATCAAGGTCGGGTTTGTGGGGTTGGATCTTATGAAATCATAGATTCTTTCTTCTTTTCTTTCCTTCTTGCTTTTCTCGCTCTCTTACCCATTGGCTGTCGTAGCCTTTACCTTTCGTGCCCCGGAAAAATTCGGGCTGCTCTACTAGAGAGGAGAAAAACCCAATATGAAGCGAGTGAGATTGTGCAAGTCGATTAATTTTCAAAAGCTTTTTTATTTTTAGAAGCCGTTCGAACGCCCCTGAGCACAGTACAACCTAACAAGAAAGCAAATACAGTAGCCACCCATGACCCGCCCATCCAAGCCTGCATTACCGATACTAGCATAATCATCCCTCATCCGACACTGCCGTCTCACCAACATTCACTCCAATCCAATCCCTTGAATCCCACTCACGCGGAAACCGCAACCGCAACCGCTGCCTCCATCTTCCCCTTCAAACCCTCCTTCTCCACTCTCGGTAAATCACCCTAAAAACCCACCGCCATCCACCGCCTCAGCTCCCATACACTCCGCATAACAAACACAAAGGGGAAGAACGCAAGACTCACAGCCTCAAATATCACCCGAATCATCAAGGAACAGCTCGGACACACCGCGATTTCCTCCCCATCGCGCAGGTCATCCAGCAGAATTTCGAACCTGTCACCGCACGGACAAGGATATGTATATAGGCCGCGGTCCTTGTCGAAGGTCATGTCTTCGATTTCTATCTCGTCGTAAATCGAGTCTGTCATGGCGGCGGTTATGGTTGCGGTTGGCGGTGTGAAGTTTGAGGTCAAGCTAAGAGTAGGAGGGGTGGGCGCGGTTTTTTTTGTCAGATGCCACGTGCGGTGGTTGCTTGGCTCAGTATCGTAATGCTTTACCAGTACTTGAGTGCTTGGGGTTGCCAGTGGCAGGGTACTAAGTTTAATCCACCCCAAACTTACAGCAGTGCGGCGGTATGGCGCCTGTATCTGGCATAAAGCATGATATCTGAAAACGAGGCAAGCTCCATCCTTGCTGATGGGAGGCCGTCTAAACATAGCCGCACTCTCAAATACCGGTACTCATCACAGGTACAAGTAAACTCTCCAACCCCGTTCCCAGCTACACCTAACTTACCGGTATAAAAGTACAAGGCTACAACTACGACCACTAAATGAACCCCTCTCACTATCCCACCACCCAACAACAAATGTACGAACCCCAACCCCCAATGTCCGCCGCCCCCACCGCCATTCTGGGCCCCGCGCGGGAGGGGGGAGAAGACGTGGCGAGACCCACCCCCCCACCCGGGAACGTGGACTCCGGGCCGACCTCATCGTCGGATTGTCTGCACTTCCTGAACACCTGCCTCACCGGCGCCGTTGCGATGGGGGAGGGCGTGTTCGCGTGCTGTGGATGCTACTAGTACTGTTCACCGTGTAATTGATTTGCGATTGTGATGGGGGGGGGGTTGCTGTCGTGTGTTCCCCCTCTCCTTCGGCTCCTTCTTTTGTATTACGTTGGTGGGGAGGGGCGGGGGAGTGCTGATTGATTGCTTCGCAGAGCGTCTACTCCCGGACGGGCACTACTTAACGGAATTGACCGGCGTTTAGAGTTTGGCGGGTGTCTAAGGATCGACGTTATACCTAGAGAGTACCTACGCCTTGCTGTGCTCTGTATAGTTATGATATGCGGCGCTAGTCAATGCGAGCTCAACGCGATATAGAATCGAGATGGCATCAATTAAGACATTATATTGGGCCGGAAGTTCTCCCTTTAATAGACCGTTCGGAAAGATAGGACAAACGAAAAGGAAACAAAAGAAGGCAAAAAAACGAAGCAAAACAAATGAGATCGCTAAAACAACCGGAGAATAGAACAAGAAAAATCCCCCGGACTAAACCAGCCCGCTCAACCGATTGACCCGCTCCAGCCCTGCTCTCATGACTCCATTTCTGGGGTTCACACGTCCCCCCTTTCTCCCGAGGCAGTATGTCTACTGCTCGCGCAGCTACTGGCGGCTGAAGACTCGCAAATTGCCTTATAAAAACACCCACTCAATTCCCCCAGTCCATTAACCCCCGGGGGGCCATCGTCCTCCAAGGTGGCCCTGTCCGCCGATTCCACGCTCATCTCAGTTTTGCGGTGAATCTCCAACCCAGGCTCCACCGCACTCTTGTCGACCAAGGTTGCGTCTCCGCTCTTTGACCCCCCCACCTGCCTGGAGAGTGGCGACCCGCTGCTTCCCGTTCCCGCGCCCACGCAACGGGCGGTTGCAATTCGTGCCTTTGACCAGGCCCTCTTGGTGAGCAGTTGCTTAAGCATTGGCGCGTTGCCGACCACTACTGCGACGAAGGTTTCCCGACAGGCCCACGCTGAGACGGTCCTTGAGTTTTGGGGATCGGTGAGGGAAAAAACGCAACGGAGAACCGCGGCGGTTATAACAAAAATACCTGCGCTAAAGAGGAGAACAAGAATTGCTTTTCGGCGCCAGGGAAGAGATGATCGGATCAATAGTGGCAATGGAAGCGATATAAGAAAGGCATCGGTGAGGACGTTGAAGGATAGGACGGTGAGGTAATATACTGGAGATTCGATGCTGCAGTTCGCTGCTGTTTAGTCAGTTAACTGTGCGAAAGTGCGTAGGCGAAATAAGTGAGTGGCTGACGCACATCCCGGGTCTGGATATATCTGCCAGAGTTTGTGCCAGGGTCTGGTACCACCACCATCGTTAGTTAGAGAATCATGTAGAGCTAGAGGCGGGGTGAAGTGTAAGGCTAGAACAACGCACCGACAGGTCAGGAACAGCACGAGACATATGACAAAATAAGACATGCCCACGACAACGTAAGCTGTTGTGATCCAAACCTGCCTTCTCAACCCTACTCTACAGCCTTATTATTAACTCAACCTCAAAAATCACACGCATAGAAGAAGTAAAGGCACATACGTTATTCTAGCAAAAAAGAAAACCATGCACAGCTTCAACACCCACATGGCACCACTGTAAGAGAACCACCCAACCATAAACATTTTCGACCCAAATACTCTCCTCTGCACCTCCTCCTCACTCATCCCCGCTCGTTGCGCTGGCGAGAGATTGGAATTCCCGCCATAGAGACTGACTAGATGTGACATGGTGGATTCGATCCCGTAGATAATCTGTCTGATAAGTCAGCCTCGTTATTCTCACAACTTCTGGAGAACCACCAACCATAACCAGAATCATTAACCAGTCATCCGGTTTGCTGCCTTCCACGCCCACCATCTTGTACCGTGTTACCAAGCGGGCTAGAATTACGGATACGCCCAGAGCGTACAAGGTCCACCCCTCTACCAGCACGGGATCGGGTCCACCTCTACGACCACTGTCTCGAGCCCGCAAGGCTGCGAATGCTATCGTTGGTGCCATACCAGGCGATTGAATTCTCCCAGTTCGAAAAGAGGTTTGGGGGGTCTGAGTGTGAAGGGATTATTACTATCATAATATGTAGACGATCCTCTATCAGCCATGGCCACTGAAAATACTGAGGCCACTCGGTGTTGCGGCGGTGGTGCTTAATTTCGGTGTTAGAGAGGCCATGCTTGTAGAAGTTTATCCCGGTGGGATTTCGTAGCGGTGATAGTGGACTCGAGTCAGCCAAGAATGCGAATGGAGATATCGTGAGCGCGATTCTACCTGCAGGGTGGAATGCAGGTCAGAAGGCAGAAGGATATTCAGGGCATCCGACACACCACCGTGAACCTGCATCGTCTAGGGTTCCATTCGCTGCCGGGAGTATCATACCGGTATCATAGAGTATTATTACTTGTAAGTCATGACTGAGTACGAGTACCTATTGTAGCGCAAACCGCCACCCCCACTCGTTTAATATGAATTGGGTAGCAGGTTGTGCGTAGCCTTGTCCGACCCGGTTAAATATTTACCCTATTCGTACACAAGAAGTGGCAAAAAAAGTGAGATATCCCTCGCAACATCGGATCCACTCTGCTCCAAGATGAGTGTTCCATGTCGGTGGGTGGCATTTTCATTAGGCGATTCTGCTGCTGTGAGTGAGGCTGCGAATTGCATCAGTTTATGAGGTTCAGCCCTGATTGACCTGCAACAAATGGTAGTGGCAAACGCATCGCCTACGAGCGGGTAGATTGTCTGTTCCAAGATGTCATTGCTGCATTTCATCCAGTACCGGACCCATCCGTCCTTGTTTGTTGTCTCACCGGTAGTTGTCTGTATGCTGAACCCTTGTAGTGTTGGAATCTCGTTGTATTACACCAAGCAACCGACGCGGGATTGCGTGGGGCCGATTCTTACACAAGCATGTATGAGAGGAACCGTAGCATCGACCAATCCTGACTGTGGTATAAATTGAATATTAGAATTGCCATGTCTGTTGGGATTATCAGCCCTATCTTGTGAATTCACTATTCGTTTCATAGAGGCTCGGTGCAGCGAGTTATTTTTGCCATTCCCGTATCAAGCGGAAAATTATAGACATGATCTTGGCGCCAGGTTCGTCAGCACTTTTTGGAATCCAGAGTCTAATGAACGAGTGATTGTTGGTGTATGGCTTTAGGTAAGTGAGGGGATAGAAGAATGAGAAATGACTGATAGTCTTATAAGGGGCTGGGTAGTTGAATGATAAAGAACATATAAGGGATACAGTCCAAGTTGATCTCATTGAGGGAAAAATTCATCTTGAAAAAATCAATTTAACCATATTATTATACTGTTATCATCCTCTGATGAGCTTGAACACGCGTTCTAGTGAACCCTCGTCCCTTAAGCGAATAAGAGAGTTTTCTCCCCCATCAATCATGCACGCACCTCTATTCTCCCACCCCTTAAACCTTTCCCCCCATCTCCCTTCCAATCTTGTGCTCTCTTCCACATCCCGCCGAGAGCAATATCCTGCCGAGAGCAATATCCTGCCGAGACCAACATCCTTTGGCTACTTATACACTCTAGCTATCCTGCACACCCCCCCCCCTAACCCCTATACACTTCCATCCTCCCGTACTCCCGCACCCCACTCCTCTTCTCCTACTCCGTCTTCTTTAAACTTTCCTTGTTAAGCAGCAAGCATATAACCTCCTACCATTTCCCCCATTTCAACCACCACCTTCACTATATATCTCCGAACTCTCATTTATTTGTCGAAGCTAGCGTTATAAAACAAGCTTTACAACCGAAATGGAAATTACCAAAGATTCCTCGCCTAATCAGACTGCTCAGCTGGGTATCGGGAAACACAGTTCGGCCCGGAAAGCCTCCTTTAACTCTATCAATCCCGAGTCCAGTGAATCCTCTCAGGGAGAAAGTAAGAGCTTTCTTGATTCCATTATTCAAAAGAACCTTCGTGATTTCTTGGCAGGACAGGCTGCCGTGAGTGCAGCGAAAGCTGCTCCATCCAAGTCGGCTACAGAAGCACATTTACCGGTAAAAGATGCAAGTGTGGTTGGAGAAAATTTTACTGGAAATATGGTTGGAAACCCTAACAACATTTTGACCAGGACTGGGATTGGTACCTCTCCAGAGGATATGGACTCTGACCAAGTTATCTGGGACACCGATTCCTCCCATTGTATTCAAGATTCGGATGGCGATATAGTACTTGGAGATGCTCCCGATCATTTGCTAGACAAAGCATCAGATAAGGAAAACGGATCAATCCAACACACTATAGTCGAGCATCATGATGAAGGCTCCCAGGAACCTCAATCTGAAGAGAATGCTCACTCGCTTCAGAATGGAATATGTGGTGTCTGGGAGGGCTCCGAAGAAGGAGAAATTGGTTTGTTACCCAATCAATAGATTATGTGCCGTACGCTTATATTTCTCTTCCAGTAGAATTAAAGAGAGCTTTTTGTGGTAGTGGAGATACTATTTCTAGGAATATGACGGATTCACCCGCGCATACCAACCACCACAAACCTAGCTATCACGAAGCCTACATTGTACCCCCTCCTGCTCCCGACATATTACCGAAAAGACCCCTTCGCAGGCCGGCTTCCGTTTGCCGCTTGAACATTCCCCGCGAATTGTTAGCAAACTTACACCGGGACCCACGGTTCGACCAATACTGCCACGCATGGATTAACCGTCCAGACTTCTGCGGCCGCGGCGATGAGTGCTACTACGCACATATGTACCCCCCTGGAACAGTAGAGGAATTTGGAATCACCACGCTCGATATCGATGCCAACGGTGCGGTTTTGAATGGGCAGGATGCGGGAGTCGAGTTGAGAGAGTCAAGATGGTCTCGCTATTTACTCCCAGGCCGTGAGGAGCGTACACCCGGCTGTTATGATCGTATCTGTAAAGATTTCGAGAGAAATGCTTGCAGACGGGGAGCAGAGTGTTGGTACCAACACTCGACCGATCCGGGTGCTATTAGACGTCGACAAGGTGTTTTTTGGAAGAATAGAGTTGATAGCAAGCTTGAAGCTATCGCCAATTCTAATGGTTCTTTCGGGAGACCCTACTGGAGAAACAATTATTCCCGGCAAAATAGAGCAGTTAATAATATAAACTATTATCGATCTCCGATTGGCAGAACTGGGACCAGTCTGTCCCGCTCAGAAGGGATGAATCCCTCTTACAATCGTCAAGACTCCTTCAAGACGGGTTTCCGCTCGGTTACGAATCGGGAGGAGGAGGCGGCAGTGGCGAGTTGGAATATTACCGCGGACAGGAACGCCAGAGAGTATGCGGTCCAGCAAGAAAGGCTTAGATATCTTAACCAAGAATCGCAGAGACGAAGAACAGAGAACATTTCGAGATGGCCAACTACCTCCGACTCTGAGATGATTAAAAACTATGTACCGAAGCCTAAACACTCTTTTTTTAACATGAACCAAGAGGGTTTTAGTTCTTGTCCTAGGGAGAATCCGTTGGTTAAGTGCGATAGCAATAAGCCGGTTGATGGGCAGGCGACCGAAAAGGCCGATGAGGGGGTCTTAATCTCTCTGCTCTGATAGGTAAACCAGCAACGGACTCCTATGATGATGAAAATACTGATGTTTGTTTAGGAGATCCCTGGTGGCTAATTCCAAGTTAGGGTGAGTGTAGGTGGTGGAAAAGCACTTTCTAATGTTGTTATACAAGTTCTAAAAATTATGTTAAAACATTTTCCTGCTTTCTCTAAAAATTTTTTTTTTTTTCAAAGATCCAATTTGCTTTGATTCTCATTTTCCTTCCAGCTACATATAGCTTCCTGATAGGTGACAGGTTTCCAGATGTTAGTTTGTGCCAACGATGAAATTTTAAAATAACAAGCTTGTATTTCCTTTAAAGAAATTGTGGATAGGTCAGACCTGTACTGTATGATACTGAGCAGTACTATTTGGTTGCTTTATTGTGGTGATGTTAAATAACCAGGTTGACAGCGGAGAATAAATGTAATATTTGAATCAAGATTGTGTTTGGCCAAGGTCTGTTATCTCAAATTAATGGCCCCATCACTGGCAGGTGGGGACTAACCCAACTCGCGCTCTTTGGGTAGAAATACGCTTGGTATCTGGAGGTGGAAGAATGGTATGATGGCAGGACCACGAAAACCGAATGATTGCAGCCATTTATCAACAGCAACGAACTCACCCACCTGCCACATGCACCGATAAACCAGACGAAGAACAAAGAACAAAGAACAATGGCGCTGCTGCTAACCAGCAGAAAGGAGGTGTCATAGTAAAGAAAGCAGAGGCGCAGTCGGGAAGGTTAATTTCCATCCACAACATGCCGGAAAACAAGGCAAAACAAACAAAGTGGGGGAAACAGGGGGGAAAAGGAAAAGCCTGAATGCCATTTCTTGGATTGCCCCCACCGTGTACAGTAAGTATGATACCGGTATACCGAAGTGGAATTTCCGTGCTGCTTTATTTGCGGAAAGTTTTCTGGTTCTGGCTTCGCGCACGGGCTCTTTGTCTGGCTCTCTGGTTGTTCACACCATTTCTACTATTACGCTTCCAATGGCTGGCTGTCTGGCTGGATCTGTCTTGGGTACGTCCTCGTTGTTCACTTTCGATTACAATTCGCTGGTCAATCGCCCGCCAGTGCATGCTATATCGACGTGCTGCTATAGGGCGGTTTGTTCGCAAGTTCCTGGGGGTTGGTGGGTCACGATTTGGACATGTCTTTGCGCTGTTTGTTGTGTGCGGGATTGGAAGGGGGAGGGGGGGTTCAGGCGAGGCGGGTGGAGCCGGATTTTTGATATCATGTCAGGAGGGAAGTTTGTGTTTGCCCGTTGAAAAGCGTGCCTTCACCGCTGATGGATATTCTTTTCAAAATTCTTGAAGGTTTGGGGGTGGGGGGGGGAGCAATACAGCAGTGGAGGTATCCAGCCATTTTGGGCTCCCGGACTGTAGGGGTAGGAGGTATATTGTTTTCTTATTAGTGTTGTTGGGTGTTCTGCTGAAAGCAAGGATAAGTTTCCTCGGGGGGGTCACTTGATGGATGAATTAGTGCTCGGTCGGTCTTGGGATGCATTCGAACAGTGCTAATTTCACTTGGAACCTCCTAAAGATGTGATGAAGTGATATGGTACGTATATATCATTCTACTATTACACTATTCTACCCATTCCCAAATGCTACAGTATGCTATGCTATGCTAACAAAAGAAAAAATGAAATGCAAAAAATGAACCACGCTATGCAATGCAAAAATGCAACCAATTAGGAACAAACCGCCACCTAATTAGAGATCTCGACAATAACCGGCCCGGCAACAATTGTCTCATCCGAAACCTTCTCCTTCCCATTAACAAGCACAGCGTAACTCTGCCCATTAACCCCCGCGGGCACGACCACCTCAAAGTGTCCAAACCCATCCGAATGGTCATCCACAAACACCGCATCGACGAATATGGGGCCAGTAACGGTCAAAAAGGCAACGCTGAGACCGTCTCTCTGGGTCTTGACCCCGGGCGCAAGCGAGATCTTGCTCCCGGTCTTGATCACGTGTCCGTCACCACCGGTGTAGTTCTTTGCCAGCGACAGGGTGGGGAACGCCTTGAACGGCAACTGTGGGTTCTCCGGCGGGCAGGAGGTTATGAATTGCGATGCGAGGGAGAATACCTGGTTGAAGTCTAGCGGGACGTCGAACGGCTGGGGCACTGGGTTCTGGTTTTGTGCGGCGCGGATGAGACTGCTGTGGCGCGCTTCTATCGTTAGGATGCTGCCCGCGGCGGTCAGGGTGAGTTTATCGGCGATGCTGGCGGCAGCGCCCAGGTATGCGGTGACCCCCACGCCCTCCAACACGCCGGACACGAGCACAAACTCTTCTGGAGTGGTGACGGGGAAGGAGTAGGTGCACGGCTTAACGGCCGGGATACCGGCGGCTGCGAGGGCGGATTGTAGGAATTGGACGTGTGTCTTCTCATCCGATGCTATTGTCTGCAGGGTGGGGAAGAGGGTGGGCGGGAAGGCGGAGAAGGAGGAGGCGCTGGAAAAGTTCTTCAGACCTTGGGTGTAGAAGGCATCCTCGAGGTGTTCCAGGGTTAGGGCGTAGTTTAGGATTACACCGTCGTTTATGTGCTCCCTGGTCGCTAGGGGTGCGGCGTTGGCAGCCATGAAGCTTGCAGCGAGGGCGAGTGTGGTAGGGAAAAGCATTGTTATGGTGGAGATGGGAATGAAAGGGAATAAAACGATATATGCAACGCTATGCAGTGGGTATGATAATATTATAAGAAATGAAGAAAAACAGAAAAGGAAGAGATGGAAATGCACGTATGAGGTGAAGGCTGATGGAGTGAATGAAGAAGAAATCCCCATCAAGCGTGCTCATCCCATTATATATACAACCCCTCCTCCTAACAACCTGATTGCAAATAGTCTACACACGAAGCTCAGCCCCCTTCCAAACAGATGCACCGCAAGTTCTCCAACATTCCAGACCACCCTCCATCCTCCATCACGGTAGATGCGGCGAACACACTAAGTCGAGATGATATTTTTCCATTGGGGAAAAAAGAAAACTCCCCTCCCAATCCCTGCGCCGATCACCCACAACACAAGCGCCACCAAAAATAAGACGGGATGGAACAAGACAAACGCCAAATTTAAGCATGTTACAGGGGCAGAAGGGTTTGTGAGTTCACAGCCTCAGCGTTTTGCCCTGTGTTGTTGGTGTGGCGCTTAATTCTGGACCACTCAGAGACGGGGGGGGGTATTTCGCTCCAGCCACCTTCTTCACTCGAGTACTCGTACAGACTTTTAACTTTATTCCCATTTACCGGTTGCTGGCTTTTGCCGGTGTTGGACTGCACCGTGGCAAACCGGGGTATGGAGGGCAAGGATCGATCTTTAGTTGAATCTATCCTATCTTGACGTCGGCGGGAATCGTGCACTTTGTCCCCGGGTTTTCAGGGAAAGTGATGCGTGCAAGGTGGATTACAGCAGTACACCAATGCCCTTTGTATACTTATCCACGTTGTGCACTAAGAGGAGATTTCCCGGTGGGTTGGATACTCGTACAGTACGAGTACGAGTAACTTAGACTAATTACTGTTTTTTTTACCGGCGACGCCACGGTGGCTAGGAAGTACGGGTGTACGGCTCTCGAGTTGCGGAAAGCAGGATTATCAACTCCGTGCGCGTACCGCACTTAACTCACCAGGCTGCGATAGCACCGAACTATCATAATCATAGATACTGCGGGCGAAGTATCGTATGGATTAGTCTTCGAACATGACCGGAATCCGGTGAACTCGGGCGGGTATGATAAAAAAAAAATGATAACTATGGAAAAAGGTGGAACCTCGCCGTTGGCCACAATCACCGCACGATAAAACCGCGAAGAAAATCTAAAGGATAAAGTGAAGACGGGGAGGAAATGGGGAAAATGGGCGTATGCATATTTTTAGAAAATTTTCACGATACAATATCATACCCCGGAAAGCCCTTAGGACTATGTCTCATCATATTGGCCCCTCTCGCACTTATGATAAAAGCAGCAGGTATGATACCGGTAGTTAGTCTACGTTTGGGCTGGTTCATTGCACCGAGAAGAATCTTAACCAACCAATATACTATCGCTTACTGATAATCCTTGGGGGGATTCGTGTTTCGGAGCAGAGGCACGGGGGAAGGAAAAAAGTGTGCCGTTCGTTCATGGCAATGTGAAAGCTTTGTAAGGTGTATCATATCTAAAAAGGGTTTAGCGCTGAGCGTGGTTGGTGCTTTTCCTCCCACATGATATTTCATACGAGTACTTGTACCATGGTCGGGCAAGAAGTTTTGGAACAGTTATTTGCGGTTAACCAGCCAAATACATCCTTGTCTGTTCCGGTTAGTAGGTTCCTACCCTGGTACCGGGTAAGATACAGCCGATAGTCTACCCTACCGGTATTACTGTGTTCTAGAAAAAAAAAAAACCGCAAAAAGCGTCATGCGTCATGACAAAGAGGCGAGGAGCAAAAAGAAAAAAGAAAAAGAAAAGAAAGAAGAAAGTCATCCACGTGTCGATTAGAGGCACAGGTAATCAAAAACTATTATTAACATTCCATCCGTTTCGAACTGGTCACGATAAACTCCTGTCGCTTTTCCAGTCTTTCTTTCTTTCTTTCTTTCTTTCTTACTCACGTACAATACGAGTACGGTAGCGTGAGTAAAAAAGACTGCCGTGAACCTTGAAACTTGAAAGCCTTCTATTCAACGTCAAGGATTTGGACCAGGTGGTGTGACATGTTGAAGCTTAGTAATATGATCAACCTACAAGTATTGGGGGCGGGGGAATCCAATTTATGGGCCATTGATAACGCTTAATGGCAGAGCATGCTCGGACGCGATTCTGTCATCCGTGGAAATGTTCTGGGGAACTGGAGGGTTGATAATGGCGGGTTATCCGTTTTTTTCGACATCTCACTTTTGCTCTCACTTTTTTTCCAATTTGTCTGCTCCAGGGTGGTTGAGTGAACGAGGTCGGTTTACCGGTACAGTACTAGCTAGCAACCACGATTATTATTGTTATTCTCATCTGATTAGTTAAAGCCTTTTATTCGCTTTCACCTTTGTCCAACTTTGCACGATTAGTCTACCGTAGGGATGCTGAGCGAGTGCGGATCTATCAGGTGGTGGGATGAGGTACCGTGGGTAGGATGGCCCAAAGAAGGGGGGGGGGATTTACAAATCGTGCTGCCCACTTGGCTTAGATGGCAAGTATATCGTAGATACTCTGCTGTGTTCCGATGTGGCTTTTGCGCCCTATCGCCCTGTCTAGGCTCACTTTATCCTCGTCGATTATACCGGTATGGGGCGCGCCTCGGGGGGGGTTCGTGGCTATAGGCACCGAGAAGCTACCGTATGGTACGTGGGCTTCAGGCAAGGTGCATCTCGCGGAGAACGCGGTACTGTACACAGTAAAGCTTCTACCGGGGTGTTATGTAGCGTTGATATATTTGGTGGGGGCGGTGGGTAGTGGTCCCTCAAGAACCCGCCCGAGTCGAGCCCGATCACCAACTCGGGCCTACCATCCTATGCTCAGGGATTAAAGCTCAAGCTAGCCCGAGCTCTGTCTTGCCAGTGGTCACTGGGTATGACTTGTTCAGGCCAGTTATGGTCGGGTAGAGCGGCACAGTGAGCCTTAGTGGGTAATGTGCTCCAAATTTCAACTTCCGCTACAGACACACATCGAACTTCCATCCACCTAGTTCCCTTGACTTTGTTGAAATCGATTGTGCGCTATGTCTACGGAATATTTGATTGGGGTTCTCCGCTCGCAATTCCTCTTCACCATCTAGTTTGATTTCCCACACCCCAGCCTCCCCGTAAACTGAGCCAATGGTTTTGGGGTAAGGTAGGAGGCCCCCAAACGCGTGTGTGCAAACGGCTTCCCGGGCCTGAAAATTTTTTTTCTTGAGCTTTCTTTTCCATGTCTCCCTGCCTGCATTTCAAAGATTTGTGTTGATATGCGGGGTGGTCTCTGGGTGCCCGTCCCTTCCTGTCTGCTTTCCGGTTTGAGTGCGTAGGGAGTAAAGCCGCCCGAGAGCCTCAGGCTTCAGCTCAGCTCGAGTCTGGCTCGAGCCAAAAGCTCACGAGGAGCACTGGTGCACTGGTGGTGGGGCGGACGAGCTAGAGTGGAGCTGGGAAGAGAGGTGAGATATAGTTGGTCATTAAACTCGGCCTGGCTATCTTCGTCGACACATGGCGGAAACGGCGGGAGTACATGTGGGGAACAACGAGCGCGACCCGGTACTTGCACAGAATGCAGAACGGCATCTTTATTGTGCAGTATCCGTACGATCTCGAACAAACATAGAATGTGCTCGGTCTTCCAAAATTCCCCCACTAGGAGAGGAGCGAAAACACCCCAAAAGACCTGCTTTCCGAGATGAATAAGGTGAGGAAATAAAACACCAGACCTCTTTAGGAGAGCCAACTCTGACGCCCCGACACAAGTTCCATTATTAAGTTCCCACAGCACCGTGCGGCACCTAGTTTAGGGCTTGCCGAGGGCGTCTGACCGCGCGAATGAGGCAAGGGCGCAAAAAGCGAAAATAGAGATATCATAGCAAGGTTCGCCTCCGGAAAGCTCTATGGTGGTGGTGGGGGGAGGGGTGTTTCGATCAATCTACTATTGCGGAAGGACAAATCATGAGATTTAACCCTTTGCGCCAGTAAAATAACGGATACCCTCGCGCTCAAGCGATTAGCCAAGCTATTTTTTGCAAAATCCAGAGCCTTATCACCCCTCTTCCCATCCTTAGCCCCCAGAGGCTAGAGATCACATCAAACTCCGAGATACAATCCTCCTTGCCCATCACCTATCGAAGGTGTTTCGGCCAAGATCGCACAGGGGCCGTCGGGGCAACTTCGGGTCAAGGATAACGTCGATTCCTTCAACTGTTCCCACTCTCAACAGTATCGCAGCCGCCAACACCGAGGCAGTTGACGGGAGGCGTGAGATTCTCCAGTGACTATCGCAACTGGAACTTCAGCAGCGACACCAAGGAGCGCGAGCCAAGCTACTCGTTGGCATTTTGGAAACAAACGGATTTTAGAGATTGCAAGGTGCTGGTGTGGAGGACATTCGTCTTTAGCAGCTTCTATTCCGTTACAGGAATCTGGGGATTGGGGAACTAATTTACCTCACGAAACAGCGCCTATTTACTGGGAGACTGGCAGAAGCAAGAAGAGTGCCACCGATGGTAGCGAATGATAATTCCCCAGCGATTGATAACCTTTCTGGCCAGAATAGTGGAAGATGGCAGTCGTAGAGCCGTACCGTGGTTTCCTCGCCCACCAAGGGCGATCCCGCACCAACATGTTGGGTGTAGTTGTCGAGCAGTCTATCTACAAGGGAGTTCCCGATGTGGTAAGGTATCCGAAAGGTGAAAAAATGGAATTTGTCGGTCGAGGTTTACGACTCGCCTGTCTTGCGTGGCGATACTGAAGATCAGTGCAGGTTTTTACCCGCATCGAGGCTTTGGATGAATTCGTCCTGGGAGAGGAGTCTTGGCTTCCTGCGAGGTGCCGTTCGCAAGGCTCCAGATACGCGGGTGCTTTTCTGTAGAAGGCTCCACATCTAGGGCAGGACTGACCAGCGCCCCGGGTGCTGTTAATGTACCTGCCAGTCTCGCAAACGAAGACCTCTCTAGATGCGCAGTTATGATACCTTATTAGGAAGCAAAAAATAAGACATCAATATAATCGACCGGGAAGATAACACGACGATTCTATGGGCAGCTGGAGAAGCGCATGACAAGATGTTGAATAAGTTACCTTGTCGGGATGCAACGGCATT